AGCAATTAAAAGATAATTCAGGCTGCTATTCCAATGTGTCATTTCTTTAAAGAGGAAATTATCTCCTCAGAGAATAGTGAAGTATTATATATGGTTCTATATTTGTTTCAAATGTGGAAATTTTGGCAGACAAATCTTTTCAAATTTAGTTCCATGATCTCAATAGTCTTAAAAGGATTTTTTTTTTTAGTATGACATTAAAAGCTTGAGCTAAAATGCCCAAAAGCACAAATACCATTTTTACTGATGCTCTAAAAGTGAAAGAAAACCTATTTTTCCTTTTCAATTACCCACTATCTCTAGCTGGAGTTGCATGCCCTACATTAATCCACAGCCAAGAGAAAACACTTGAGGTATAAATGAATAAAGTAGGTGAATGCAATTGCTTCACTTCCTATTTCTGTGATTTATTGCTATCTTTTCTGGGTTAAATTGTTAAATCAACAACCAGCTAATAAAAGTAGGCATATTATATACCATTCTTAAGAAGTTCCATGGAAAAGTTGTGAACAAGTTCATGCTTCCGGCCTTGGCTAGTTGGCTGCTTATGTTGAGGAAAGTCTTTGCTGAACACCCCATTGATGAGGAGGCCGTGGCGTGGTGTATGCACGACGCTGAAAAGCAAGTGGTCCCTGGGAACATCCAGGTCAGCAGCATGGATGATGGAAGAATCCAACTCTTTCGTCTGACCCTCACACACCTAAACGACAACAAGTCAGAAAAGTCAGCTGTGTGAGAAATAAAACCTGTCTGTCTTTTGGCCAGTTGCTCAAAAGGAATCATTTTAAGATTGCCTACTGCAAATTTTCCGTGAGATCTGTGTGTAATGAGTCCCAAATATTGCTGGTTTAACATGACCTTAGAAGAACAAATCTCTTATGATCTCTCAGATATTTTCTGAAGATTTCAAAGCACTTTTTTCATTTACATGATAGACAAATGACTATACACACACACACACACACACACACACATATACATATTTTATAATTGAAAAGTTGGGGAAAAAAACAACCAAAAGATTCTTGCTTTCTGGAAGACAGAGGAGTTCAGTTGTGAAACAGTGTAGACCCTTTACCTTCAGATCCTAATCTGTTGCTTTAACATCCTGGACCCCGTTCCTTTCACAATTCTTATGTTTCTGTTTTTAGAAATGGCACAAATACCTGATATACCCACTGGGAGTACTCAACGTTTTTTTCATTTTTGCCATTGCAGGAAAAACTTTCGCATTTCAATGGCAATCAACAATTGAGAAGGGTGCTTCTGGATGCATAGCAGTGTATATTTTAATTCCGGGTCCCTCATCTCCCCCCAGTCCTCAAACCTCTAGTTTTGCGGAACTACCTTCCCCTGCTCCCACACCCAACTTCAGGTTTCCTACTTCTTTAAGCACAAAGAGAACTGGATGTTTTTTCACTTCATGTAGGATTCAGTCATTTA